AAACAAAAAAAAACGTTCCTCCGGCAAGTAAACAGCCTTATTTAAAACACTTGTTGCGAATATGAATTAACATTTGGATTCTAAATGGGTTTTTGTGCTGCTCAGTTCAAGTGTGCAACGACTAATTTATCTCACTTAAACGATGATGTGTACCACGATTATTTACTCTATTTTATTTTATATGGCTGGTAATTGGGTTAAACATTCGTATTTTAGTTATTGGCTATCAAGCGAGTTGGTGCAATTGTTGGCTGGTTTATTTTATTGGCAATTTATTTCATTATTGGCAAAAATGCAGCGTTTATGCAGTAAAAGCATACGCGTCGAAAGCGATGACTAAAATCCTAATCTGTAACTGCAACTCTCTATCTAGAGGAAATCTAGACTTTAAATGGTGATTTTTTGGGGCTTTTAGGTCGTCGTGGAATAGAATTTATTCCTTATGAAAAGCTCCCCAGTATCAGTTACAATTGAAACTTGATCAATGATAAATTTACGCACAAAACGAAATTTTTTGTAACGTAATTGTTTTAAGATTATTCGATAAATCCAATAAAATTTAAAAAACTTCTTCAAGAGAGCCGATCATTAAATTTATCGCAATTTTCCATTTTGTCGCAGTCTTGGAACATCGAAGTGAAAAAATAATGAAACCAAAACATCACTTGAAAAGGCTTTTTTGAAACTATGAAGACAAGTATTAAAAAATTGCTACTTTTCTTCCGAGCCATTTTTTATTTCAAAGTCTGCTCTTTCCATCGCTCGCCTTATCAATTGCGCTGCTTGTAGACAAGAGATTGAAAAGCGTTTTAGTCTTTTAGCATTAAAATCAGTCAAATATTGCAAAAAACTATTAATGAGACACGTAAGTGCTCGTATGTTACAGCAGAGCAAACCACTTCTGAAGATGCATGCAAAACGTCTCAACTGAAACTCACCAGTTTAACTCAATAGCCTCAATAGCCGCAAAAGTATAACTGTTTTGATTCAAACTTCTTCAACTTGCTGACTCTGCAACAAGCTGAAAACCACGCAAAATGTAGTCAAATTTTGCATTTATTCGTACAAATCCATCGTTGATTCAATAAAAGACACGCTCTGAAACTAATCAGTAAATTTGCGTCATTTATCGCAAATCCCACTGCAATTAAGCGCTTCGTGCTATTTATCGAAAAAAACCATACAAACGACAAATTCAGATAACAAATTAAAACTAAATTGAGCGTCTATTTGGGGAATTATCAATAAATAAATCCAAAAGTCGCATGGTTGAAGATTTACATTCGAATTACTTAATCGACTATTAAGCAAGTAAGTAGGTATAATGTAGTTCAAGGATATGAAAACAAAAATTACGAAATAGGAGTGTTTTTGACTAAATTCTAGAGTACAACTTGTGCATATTTGCAACCTACGCGCTTTTGGCTCCCGACAGTTCCGACAGTTTAGTTATGCTCACTTGGGGCTTGTTTGACTGGCCTGATCGAAACTGTTTAGAATTCTCATAATGTTTATTAATAATCGTCATTTGCATTTGAATTGGAATTCGAAAAACATGGCAACTGTCTACAATGTAAACTCGTTGCTGATTGAGTTGCGTGCATTTTTCGCATGAAACTGTTAAAAGAGTTACTAAACAAAATTCTTCAAACTGTTCAAATGTCGCAGCTTTAATCAAGCGTATAAATTAAGCAAAGGCATGCGTATGCAAATAGTTTCAAAGAACAAAAGCATTCGCAGTAGAAAAATCAGGCTATTCTTGCTAGGTGTAAACTACTAAGCTGGATGCATAATTGACGGCATTATTACGCAAATGAATGTTCTAGTAAATGAGCCTTTGCGTAACTACTGTCTTTCATAAATCGCAACCTTATCTGATAAAAGTCCAATAATTGCAGATAAACTGAAGATAGTCAAATAGTTTCGCAACGTGCAACAAGCGTAATGAAAGCGAAGACAACTCGAGTCCAAACCGACATGGAAGGCAAAATTTATTGTGTAGCCATAGGCCTAGTACATAATATAATAAACATTATGTTTACCGTTAATTACATGCAGACAGTGACATGATGTATGCATACAAATCTTGCGATTGTGACGATCTCCATTGAATTTTGCACATGATTTATGTGAATATCTGCAACAAGCGGCTGGGTTCTGCATGAAAAAAAACTTCCAAAATAAAAAAACTATATATTTCATTATACACGAGAGCGATAAACATTTACTTTTCCTAAATTAATGAGACGACTTAACATCTGCCTGCAGTGAACACGCGTCAGATGCTTCGGCTTACTGTTGAAAATTATAATTAAAAAACATAATAAGTGCCTCATAAACTTGTATTCAAGTCCCGACATAAACAGTAGCGGCTTTTATCAGTTTCTTATAGGCAACGAGAGCTAACTTTAGTACCTAGAGTCAGTCAATTGGTTTGGCCATTTAGTGGTACTTGAAGGTACCAGAAGGAAAATCCATCTGGTTTTTCCATTAATTAATCTTGAAGTTTTATTATTAGGTACAGGCAATTAGGATTTAAAAAGCCCATCTCCGGCCATTAAGCTGGAAAATATCAGCAATTGCAATTGATTTTTTCGTTTTTTCCATTTACACATTGAGGGACGGAAAATAGATAATTTTCCGCAATTGCAATTTTTTCTTTAAAAATTCGCAACTTCCGAACTGAAGTAAACAGTAATTTGAAAATTTCACCATCTTTAGAAGACACTTGACTCTAAGGATGCTGTCAGTTTGAGAAAAATCGCCCAATCTGTGCTAAAAAATTGTCTCGCATGAAATATCTTTTTCATTCGTCAATTTCAGTTCGGCACCTCTTTTTTTCTTTCATCAGTTGAATCGTCACTATCCAGTGAAAGATTAAAAGTTCAATGATCGCTATCCAATAAAACATTAAAATATTTTTTTCTAGAGCTCTAGCTCTAGAGCAATAAAAGTTAAAATAAAAAATAAATGCTTGGATGTAAAATTTCCCTTAGAAGATAATACGAAAAAAAGCTTTATTATTGCTTGATTTGTGGTTCACATGCGTTCTACATACAATTCACAGTTCCAATTATTTACTTTGATTCTTCCCGCAAGAAGTTTAGAAATTTTGCAAAATACTTGTTTTTTGCACCCAATACCCCCATAATTATAAAGCTTTTTTCATCGGTTTACTTCAGTTGACAATTTTTAAACCAAATTTACATCCCACTTTATAAACGTTTTTTTTTTTCAGAGCTTTATTTCAAACACTAATCAGGGTTTAAAATGCGGGCATTAAACGGGGGTTTTAAATCGAAATCATTCCCAAATTGAGCTGCACTCCCAACAATCAACGTCGTTTGTTCCGGTTATTGTGTCCAGAAAAAACTGGCCAAAGGCCTAAATCGCTATAAAACGCATCCATAATGCATGATGTTGCCTTTCTCAATGGGTATGCGCTTCTGGCATCTTGAAAACAACTTTTTTTCCCCCCTTATGAATGGCAAACGTGAATTATCTCGACTGTTATGATTTAATTTGCTCAATTATTTTTAATTGTTCTTGCTCAGAGATGCGCATCAAACCGCCAAAAAAAACGTTGTTTTTGCTTCAAATTAACACCCCTGAAAGAGCTTCGATAGGGGAACTATTTCAGTAGAAAACTTAGGGAGTAATGATCGTTTGATGTAATATCCCTAATGGATTAATTATACTTCCGGTGACGGTCTATAAAAATGGAAAATGCACCCCTAGTTTGATGACGAAGCCCGATATAGTTTCTACGTAAATCAGGGTGTGTGTGATGTCTAGGCAAAAATAGGTGTGTTTCACTAGGGAACACACATAGTACTAGGGGCTGGCAATTAGCTTACAAAACTCTTACATTCAATTACAGTTGAATGTCGCAGACGATCAATAAATAACAAATAATACCGCAAATGTTTAATAACGACACACATTTGGATAGGAAGACGGAAACGAAAATCTGGGTTAATAGAAGCAGTGAAAAATTGTCTCAGTGTGCTGCTTTGGAATACTTCAAGAGCCTTAAACGAACCATAAAACTTTAAATATACTAGCTTTGGCTGTAAAGTCGTTTTTATTAATAGGGTTAGTGACACTTTTTAAACGATTTTCTTTGGCTGAAGGCTACAAAATTTCGTTGAAATGATTAGAGGCTTCAATTATTTTCCTCAACAGCTGCGAATTTTGATAGTGTAAGAAGTAATTTACACAACATTTTAATTTGAGATCAGAATTGATGAGAAAAAATAGTCAGAAAGTTAGTTGAGCCTGACTGCCTTGTTCTTCAATCTCGTCAAAAATATTTTTCGTTTAATAGAAAATCGTTTTTTTAAGTAAATCCTCAAACGATGAACTTGCGAATATTTTATGGCCTTTTTAATTTTGGAGATATTTTTAATTCCTGAAGATCTAAAAAACTAAAAGTTACGACTTTCGAGACCGAGCAAACCACCTCTGATGCACTCGTGCTTGTAACACATCAGGAAGAAATTCTTTTCCACCTAGGCCTAAAAGCCCGAAAAACTCGCTGGTTTTATGCATTTTTTTTTCAAACTGCAACTACGAAGCCACTCCTTTGTCTATTGCCAATGGCATAGGAGTGCCTGCCCTTGTGTACTTTATTATAATGATTACTTTATGTTAAAGTGACGGTTGTTTGTTCTGTAAACTTATCTAGATTGTGGGTTTCCTATTTTAATTTTCCGAAAGTAGGTACCTGCTCTGGTTTCAATCGATTGTGTTCAACAAATAGATAGAAAAAGTGTGGTCATTTCAAATAAAGTTAATAGGAAAGATATCAATTATTTAAATTTTGTGAAAACCAATTCGTTTTTCTTCTTAAAGAACATCTGGCGATTTTGCGGGCCGATCGTTGATTTTTCAGACATCTAACATCCAGCTACTCTCGCATCGGATAAAACAAGTCACAAAGCCTAAATGTTAATTTAAAAAAATTGTTATTTATATTAAACAATTTCGTTCCCTTTCAGGCTCATGTGGTGGCAGCTTTCGAGCAGAGCCTCACCTCAATGACTCAAAGACTTCAACATTTAACTGCAACTTCAGAAAAAAAGGTAAGCGCTACATAAACATTCCTAATTTGTCCAGTCTTTCTTAACTTTTTCGTAAATGGAACCTTTGTATTGTTCGCATATTTGCTACCACTGCTCAAGAAATGAACGTTACACAGCCAAATTTACCTTAAATTTGGAACTGGATAAATTCTGATTGCCTAGAGCGATTTGGTTTGTGCTTGCAGCGCTATTGAGCCTAATTTGTTTTTCGTTAGTCAATGTTTTGGTACAAATTAATCACCACGGATAAGTTTTCTACAAGGTGGCAAATAATAAAATGCACATTTTTTCAAATGTTGCCATGCCCCTAGTTGGACAAAAAAATTTTAAAAACACCAAAAATTTCAAGATTAACCAAATAGAGTCTTTAAAGTTTGAAATAAAGTGTTGATGTTTAAATTTTTTTACTAAAATTACATCTTAATGATTTTTTAAAATATTTTAATTTAGCCCCAATTTATGAGTTTTTTAAGCGGTTACAATCTTTAATCGGCGATATTTTCCTTATTACACACGCAAACCCTTTATACATGCACATTGACGATTTTTGGACCGAAATCTATGCATTAAGCTGAAAACCGTGCATGTGAAATTTAGACGTTTGACCGAAAATTCCATAAAGGTTAAGGTCGATTTTGAAAAAAAGTGAGTTTTTTTCATAACGCCTCAAATTATACAACATTTGCAAGATAAGGAAGTGATGAAACCCTACAACCTCACTGAAAAATACGTTGGATCCTACGGATCGGTGAAGGAATCAAAGGTTTGATCGGAACCAAATCCAGACTACCAGTAAGCTGATGCTTCTTGTATTGAATACTGGAACTCAAATTTCCTTATCGAAAGCTGCTTTAAGCGAAAAGCTTAAAAGGTTAAAAATTAGCCACGAAAGAACCAATAGCTCAAATCAGCAAAGCAACGATATAAAGAATCTATAAAACTTCAGTTGCTTGTCGGAAAACTAAACTCAGTTCAAACTAAAAGATTTATAGATTAGAGATCATTCTAACCAGCTTTCTGCAAGCTGGCGCCCTATCCTCAATTTTCTACCCATTCATCCCCAAAARGTTTACTACCCTTTCACACTACAYMCAATGAAAATYCACGTCGAATAGAAGAATGAAACTGTTGCTCAGCTTCCGAGTGATGCTAGAAACCAACGAAATTTCGACTAATTAAGAATACCCGTTAAAGGTTGTGATTTCAAGAATTATTCAAAATTTACATTGGAGCTTAATTTTCTTATCGTCTGGTTAYAATCATCTTCGCTCTTTTTGTATTGCAATTTTTTCATCTGTTAGCCCCAGATCTCGTGCCTTAATTAGTCAAAATGTGCGTTGACTTTGTYGAGCAGCAATCAATTTTTCGTCTTTCAGGAGAGCGAACTGCAAGAACTGAGACAGGCAATGGATGCCCTGCGGGCCCAGTCCATACAAGCAGGCATTGGATCCAGCTTAGCGCGACAACCCAGCTCAGATAGCGTTTCCAGTCTATCATCCGCCTGCTCCTTAGACAAGCAGGACAAGAAGAAGAAAAAGGGCTGGCTAAGGAGCAGTTTCACCAAAGCCTTTTCCCGAAACGCCAAAGTTACCAAAGTTCAATCCAGTCACAGTGAGGGCGAGAGCGAGAGGCAGCACAGCCCGCCACCTCCAGCCCCCATCGACCATGGACAGGAGGTGGCCGAGCTGCAGAAGCAATTGCGAGAAAAAGACTTGGTGCTGACCGACATCAGGCTGGAGGCTCTGAGTTCAGCCCACCAGTTGGAGAGCTTGAAGGTAAGTAATGGGAGATTGAGCAAAGTTGGGGACTTAGTTGGGCGGATTTGTGCAGGACACTGTGATGAAAATGCGAAGCGAAATGCTCAGTCTGAAGCAGAACAATGAGAGGCTCCAGCGGATGATGAGCGGCGCAAACACGATGCCCTGCACTGAGCTTACAGCGGAGGCTCGATCTAATTCGTCCCTGGATGCACTGAGCGACTTAATCCCGACTGATGAGCCAGCGCCTGAAGCTGAGAGCGACGGCAAGAGGATAGCGATATCCGTCTATCTAGGACAGCCGCATAGCTTTGAGAGGTAACCGGAAAGGAGATTGTGATGAGATTCTCACAAAATATTACCTATTCCAGATACTATGCAGAACACTACGGATACGATGGCAAAGGAACAAACAACACTAGCACTGAAATAGCTGTCGCCTACACAAATATCGGCGCCTCCACGTCATGGGCGCAGCTGGACAATGCGGTAAGAAGGGCCTTTAAACAGTATGTGGCTCGTCTGGATCCGGGAGGCGGATTAGGGCTGGGCAGTGATTCCATCGCCAGCTACAAGCTGGGAGAATCTGAGCGAAAACCCGACACTGGACCCCCCGATTTGCTGCCTGTGGGCTATGCAGTTGGCCGAGTGGCTACCGTCCATGTGGTAAGCAGTTGAAGTTGAAGCAAAAACTTTCAATCACTCTCAACTTGCTGCAGGTGTTGCAACCAGTGGCAGCCTTAGCCTTCGAAGCCTTGATCCCGAAAGGAGTGGCCCAAAGGCTGGTCTCTTTACTGGCAGAACATCGAAGGCTGGTGTTGTGTGGCGCCCCAGGCACTGGAAAGACTCATCTAGCCACTCGGCTGGCAGAGTTTCACGCGCAAAGTTTAGGCAGAGATCCGCAAGAGGCTGTGGCCACTTTCAAGTACGTTGATTCAGTGATTGATCAAGTGAGTTGGTTGGATTGCAATTTTTCGGTCCTTTGCAGCGTGGACAACAAATCGGCTAAAGAACTGCGGCAGTACCTGCAGCACTTGTCCGAGCAGGCGGCTTCAGGCGACAACAGCGTTCTTCCCTGCGTGGTGGTGCTGGATAATTTGCACAAAGCCGGCCCTCTAGCTGATGCCCTAGGCAGCTTACCCAGGAACTTACCATGTCTTCTAGGGACGATGGCGCAAAGTGCCTGCTCTGCCACTAGTCTGCAGTTGCAACATGGGTTCAGGTTTGTACATATTTTTCCTCATTTTTGGTGGAAGTTTGCTTCCTACCACGGTCTGGGTATGTTCGATGATGGGGATGAACAGGCGAGTTTTTCGCAGATGCGCGAAAACGTTTCGTTTGCTGGCGGCAATGTGTGGCAAATACTACGTGAAAAAGTGCTTTGCATATTTGGAGGAGTTTTAAAAAATTACACGAAAAGAATTAGAGGTTTCCGGAAAAAGTCTGTAGAAGCGGTTTTCGTCAAAAAAATCGCGGCTCAGACAGTTTAGGCCTGGGTAACACTGTGTTGAGTGCGCCATTGGGTTGTTGACGCTCTCTGAGTTAACGAATTATAACTCATCGGTTAATGAGTTATAAGTAATTTATTAGAGCTTTACGAGAGCCGAGACTGGAATTTGCACATCTGAAAAAAAGGTCATCAACATTTTTCCTGAGAAACTTTTCACTACTTTGTTCAAACAAGTAAAAAAAGTAATCTAGATTTTCCCAGCAACAGACGTGAGTCCAAAGAAAGTCGACGAGTTTTCTTGTAAAATCGATCTCTTAATGTTTTTGCATAGAAGATTAAGTTTGCCAGTATTTGACAGTAAAATGTTAGGAAAAAGCGGTTTTTCTGTTTAGAGTCAGTGTTGTTTAGAAATATTGACCTAAACGCGAAGAAACCCCAGTTTCCAAGAGTTTTCCAAATAAATGATTATAAACTTTCGCTTTTCAGTTCGGGGAAATATTTTTGGAAAAAGACCCAGAATTAATTATTAGGGTTTTGTCCATTTGCGGTTAAGGAGGCGAGTGTTCCAATCAAATCTATCTTATAATTTTTCACGGAAAATACCTGAATATTGTTCGAATTTTAACTAATAACTGCGATTTTTGCGTAGAAAGAATTTCTTAATTGAAACTTTGTTAAAACTAGAATGGCCTGAAAATTTAAAGACACTTTGAAGATTTTCAGGGCGATGTGGCCGGCGAATTTCCCAAATAATTTTTTGTAAACTTGCTCCCTGACCGTTTTTTTTTCAAGATAATCTTAAAATCTTAAAAAAAAAATCTTTAAAAAATTGAATAAAATTATTTAGTTTTTGTGCCAAATTCGAAGTTGAAAATGATTTTCTAAAGTTGCCTGCAAACCGTCGAATGAGGCGAATTTTCTAGCAAAATTTATTTTCTCATTTTTGGCTGAAAAGACTTCATTATTGTCAGAAAGGAAGGAAATCGTCAAAAAATAATAATTTTTTGCGTTTTCGATTGAAAACTTTTAGATAAGTTCTATATTGTTGAGGATTCATTTTTTTACAAAATTCTTTTTGGGTATTTCGCCTCAAAAATTTTTGTCTTTAAAAAAGACAGAATTTCCTCACGTCTTTTATTACAGATTGATAAATAGTGCTCCTAT